ATATATAATTCATTTCAATAGTCTTCTGCTTTGGTCACCTCATCAATGAAGGGCTGATGTTGGGACAGGAATTCATTAACTTTATACAAGAATATCGGGTAGATCTTGGCTGCGGAGATACCTATTCTATGATTCATCACATTATTAGGCCAGCCTATTCCTTTTATCAACTCTTCATTGTCTTCAAGTACTCCAATGTATGTAGGAATTTTCTATTTATATTTCTATGATATTTGATATACAGGATTGATATATGGACAAAAGTTGTGTTTGTGTGTTGAATTGTCTTTTTTTTATTTTTACTTTTTAACCCAAACAGAAACTGGTAATTAAATGACGTGGGTACATTAACTCATGTTTTAAAAGCTGGAGTTCAATAATAAAATTCAAGAACAGAATTTTTTTGTAAATTTAAGGGCAATAATTTATTCTGAATTTGAGTCAACAAATTTGAATCATACCAGAATAGGTTTACGAACAAATTTCGTAGTTAATAAAAATAAAACTTTAAAAAGTATACGCATATATAGTTTGTCTACAGAAAGAAGTCCCCTCTCCACAAAAACTAAGGCAGTCTGTTGCTATGGAGACAAGAAATAGCACATTTTAATGCGGAGAGCTTCTCTCTCCCCTGATCCAAAGCCTGTCTTTAATACTAACCTAACACTCCTGCTTGAAATAGTTAAATCTCGTAACTATAGTCACGGTCATTTTTCCAGACGAATGGTGAAGGAAGTTTTTTCCATAGACAACATATACATAATATTTACATGATGTGAAACATAAAAACACTCTCCTATTTGAAAAATAAAACAACCAAAATTAACCTTCTTACATTCACTTGATGAAGGGAAAAGCATCGTAAATAAAGAACTGTGTAGTAAAAATCTGAAAAACTATTTCTTTCTAACTAACTTGGATAAATCATATTTATTTTAGATATACCATGATAAACATAGGCAAGTTTATTGGAGGCAGTAATTATACTTTTATGCACAGCATTAAAACCATCATTTGAGCAACTATTATAACCTACATGTCATTTTTTGAAATGACTAGCTTTTATTTTTCCTTTCCTAGCAAATCTTTCCTCCAATTAAAGTATTTTCAGTTTTAGTCAGCTCAGATAACTTTGCCATTCATTTTTTTTAAACAGCGTGAACACAAATCGCAATTGATTTTTAAATTGCTTGAATGCGACATATAAAAATTGCGTCTATACGAATGCGGTCGTCGCAGGGATGCGGATGCAAGCTTTTGAGTGAAAACAAATATTTTTGATAAAATGAAGATTTTTTTAAGCAAAAATTTGTTTTAATTTGAATTGCTGTTTTTATTAATTTTTTTTCATCAAATATTAAAAATTAAAGAAAGAAAAAGCAAGGAAAAAATAAATAAACAGGAGAAAATCGTCTAAATGAGGGTGTACTCACAGAGAGGCAAGTCGTCATAGACAATTTTAGGAGGGATAATTTTTAAATATTTTTTGTAGTTTTTTAACTGTAAAATTGACTTAGGAGATATTTTTGATAATTTAAGGTATCTGACTGATTTTGACGCTTTTTTTAAAGGCTTGATTAAAATTTAATCTTATTTTTGGTAAACAGCTGTCCTAAAGTTATAAATTTAAAGTAAATTTTAAAAAATTATCAAACAATTTCGAAATAGGCGCGAATTTGAGCTTAAAAACTAGAAATGTTTCATGTCACGCTAACAGCTCTACAACAAATTGCACAGCATAAATTTCAAAATAATGTATTTATAATCAGGCATTTTCAGATATTTAGCTGATATATTTAGCGTTAGTACTGTGGTCGGTGAAAGCCGGATGAGGAAATATTGGCGACCAGCTGTCGCTGGGATTCGAACCCAGGAGCGCTCTATCTCCTAAGTTACCACGGCTCCTCATTCCTTTACTTGAGATAAAAAGCAAAATCCTAACGGTTTAAAGCGGGACATGAAATTTAGGACATATTAAGGACGCTATTTTTTTTTTCTTCGCCAGAATTTAACAAAATGTACGAACCTTGTGTTTTACAACTACTGATTTTTTTTCTTCTCCTTGTTTGATTACGATATAGCTGTAGGAAGTAATCTTCACTTTATTTCAGATAATTATTAACCGCCACAAAGTTCTAGCTTGCTTTGCATTGATGCATATAATGGCTTCCTGCCTCTGCTTTTGGTTTGGAACAATTCTAGAAGAAGCTTTAGAAGAATATCATCACGATGAAAATGACGTAACAATCGAAGATCTAAAGAAAAATGCTACTCAACTCATCTTTTCAGGTGAAAATTTAAAAAAAAAAAAATTTATAT